GAGACGTGTACAAGTGCCAGTACGCATGCCATCGTCTGCCAGTACACAAAAAGTTTCCAGGAAACAAAGAAATAAATAAATAATACTACGAATATTCAAATATTTTCTCATATTGTTATTATATAATTATATTGCTCACACATGGTACTGGTCTCTGGCACACTGAATACAGCAGCAAGGGTTCTGATCAGAAGGTTTTGAAGAACGTGAAACCACCTTTTAATTGCTGTTGTTCCCAGGTCCAGCTTCTTGACCCGGGGTGGTAGAACCTGTTAGGGTCCCACCTAAAAGAGAAAAGAGTCAGCCCTCAAAGTGTGGTCAAAAAACATGAAAATATAACACTATATTACTGAACCCTTTATTTCACTCACTTGGATAGACTGTTCTAGTTCCACGTACTGTGTTTTAATGGATGTCAGGACACAAGGACACATAGCACAGTGGATAAAGGCGTTGATTAGATCCAGTGACAGGACCCAAAGAGTGTGAGTTCAATACTCAGTTAAGGCAGTGGAGAACTTGCAGAGGGGAATTAACAGGACATAACTGATAACTGACATCCATCAGACATGGCACATGGAACTAGAACAGTCTACCCCAGTGAGCGAAATAAAGGGTTCAGTTCGACATTCCAACAACCTGAAGAAGGCCAAAACATACAACAGCTGAAAATGTTGTAATAAATATGACGAAAAAGATGAGGACAATAGTCCAAATAATGTAAATAGTGTACATAATACATCTCAGAAATATAGACAGATAATGTAGGAAGTAGCTGACGACTAATCGATCACATTTCTAGTCTATACTATTTCTCTATTTGAATCACTATACGGATCACTATTTGAGCGAGTATTATCAAGCAAGTACTATTAGTGTGAGTGTTATTCAAAGGCATCTGACACCAGCATGGTTCAGCAGCATACAATAGTTGTATCTGCAATTACAAAGTCTCTACTATAATGAGCATTATGAAAGTGACAAGTATTCATTGGCATCAAAAACTGTTAAATGAGTGTTCATTGACATCACAAAATATATATATATATATATATATATACATGAATTATTCACACAAAACTAATGCAAAGGTTAATGATTTTAAATGGCGAGACATCCATCTCGCAAACAATTTAAATATTACACAAAAACCTCAGATCCGTTATGAATGAATTGATCCTTGTTCATATAAATTTCTGCCGTATTAGTTGTTATTTTTACACAAGCTTCGTCTGTTCCTACAGACATCTTCAGGTATATAATAGATGTTGTTCTTGTTTTTTTCTCTTAGTAATAAGAGGACATCGAAAATATATGTGTATATATATTGAACAATATAGTTCATGCCACTTTGACAGTAAAATTTACCAGTAAAATAATTTGTTCATTACCATATTTGGTATAGACGCAAACATTTTAAAAAAAGAAAAAATTCAAAATCAAACTTAGCGTTGCTTTGGCGTGTTCAAAAACCAATATCTCATTTTCAATAGCATTTCGGATACAATACACATATATTTTCGATGTCCTCTTATTACTAAGAGAAAAAAACAAGAACAACATCTATTATATACCTGAAGATGTCTGTAGGAACAGACGAAAGCTTGTGTAAAAATAACAACTAATACGGCAGAAATTTATATGAACAAGGATCAATTCATTCATAACGGATCTGAGGTTTTTGTGTAATATTTGAATTGTTTCTAGATGGATGTCTCGCCATTTAAAATCATTAACCTTTGCATTAGTTTTGTGTGAATAATTCATGTATTTGTAAATTGATTGCATGTTTATTGTAATATATATATATATATATATTTGAAAATATTTTTGAAGGATCAAAATCTAATTACAGAAATAAAAGTATGTAGCTTAATATTACAAGACATGTTAAAAGCAAAGCAACTGGTTTCACTCTCGCTCTTCAGCCCTCTACGGGAGATTTAACCTAAATTAAAACAACAGAAAATGTGTAATGAGAAGGAGAAGGGGAAAAAAAAAAATAAAATAACTGAACACAAAGAGCTAGAGACAAATAACAGTGAGTCCCAACAAACATTGACACTGTTTACACAGGGAAGACTTGTGGGACCCGATATAAAGTACCTCCAGCACCTTGAGATGAAATAATGAGTGAGACCAGGACAGAACAGTGAACCAATAAACAATAAAATTAGCAGCACACCCTCTGTTATTTAAGAGGTGCTCACATATGCCAGAACCATAGGTATTTGGGACATGTCCATTCAAAGATAAGGTGTGATTCCTGATCTTGGTGGGAATATGCTGTTTAATTTTCATGTCCAGGTGTTGAGTAGTTCATTGTTGAACAATGTTGGTGTCAGACACCTTCAAATAATTCCATATATATATATATATATATATATATATATATATATATATATATATATATATATATATATATAATTTAAATTGATTGATTAAAAATATTTTTTCCGCTACACAGTTCTAACCATGTTTCAAAAATTTCCATTTTTGAAACTTGGTTAGAACTGTGTAGAAAAAAGAACTGTGTAGTGGAAAAAACATATTTTAAATCAATTAATTTATAATACTAATGCTCTGTAAATTTACATCGAGCACTATTTTGAAAAAAAAAATATCTATAAGAACACGGATTATATATCTTACTGTTCTTTCTTTTTATTTATATATATATATATATATATATATATATATATATATATATATATATAAAGGCAAATATTAACAGACATTTTGTGGTGATTAATTTTTAATGAGCGGCTTTTCTAAATTATTAACAATCCTTCTCAGACAAGGAGGAAATTCTGTCAGAAATTGTTTTCAGAAGAATAGTACAAGAAATATGGTCCAAGCTTTCAACTTTCATAAGTCATCATCAGGGCAATGTGATGGAAACGAAATACACACGGAACTGATAATGATATCTGCCCCCACCCCCAGTGTAGGGTCAAAGAGACAACATTTAGTGTGCTATTTCTGCAGAAAAAAAAGTAAATAACTGCCCTGCCAGAAAAGAGATGTTGCAAACCCCAAGACATTTGGTTATGAAGAAAGTCTCTATCAGCTGAAGCAGTCAGGATGGTGAGCTGAACAGTGTTGGCTATGCAAATGATTCCTTTTGCTAGCCAACAGCTAAGCTTTTAAGCTCCATAAAAGCAGACACATTTTCCGGTAAGTGCAATATGTTCACTGTACAATGGGATTGCTGTGCATTACCAAGGATTTCTGTTTGAGTCATCCAGTGTCATTTCAAATTTATTCATCTTTGGTTTGCATTCTTGGTGTCTCAGTTGCATTTGACCCATATGTGTGGTGTTCCTGTGTAGAAGTCTTGTCTGTGCCCTGCTCATTGTGATCCTCCAGTGTTTGATTGCTGCTGAGTTTTCTATCCCTCTTCATTGGCAGATACCCAACCAAGAAAATCCCTTCAGGTAGGTAGTGACTATATATATATATATATATATATATATATATATATATTATGAAATGGACCAAGTCTGACAATTATTTAAAGACATTTTTATGTTTAACATTCTTTTTTATACATACAATATATGGAATCGTCATTTAGCTTGACGTGCCTAACCGCTCGAACGATCCTTTGTGGCCGAGTGGTTAGGCACATCAAGCTAAATTAAATGACGGTTCCGTATAGGATGCAGGTTCGAATCCTGTCAAAGGACGAATATTTTCTATGAAAATTTCTCGGACATTCAGGCCAGTAAATGTTATTTATTACTGTTTATTATAAACAGAGCATTTACTAAAATACTTGTATCTATAAAAAGAATGTTAAACATAAAAAATGTCTTTAAATATACACACATATATATATATATATATATATATATATATATATATATATATATATGCATATATAGGTATTTAACTTATACTAACAAGAGGTGTATCTACAAAACTTGAAGTTGGAAAGATACATCTTTTGAACTTTTACTAATCTATCAATTATACATATATATAGGTATTTATCCATACACCTATGTTGTAACAGAATGTGATTCAAAGTCATGTTTAGTGTGGTATTTCGGAATTGCTCAAGTCCCCTCATCACTTGCACTATTAGAGTTGCTTCAAGCCTGACGTAACAGCCCTCACCCAAAAAAGTGATACTGTATGGGATATTTTTTTACTCAATTCGCTCCAAGCAAGGCAATAATGCCACTAAGCTGAGAAGGGCTACTGGAAATGAGAGAGAAGGAAAAGCCTTTGGAAGGAACCAGAATCCCAATAATAGTACAAATTTCAGTGTTTATTCAGAGACATTCGAAGTGGAATTTAGAAGCAACCAGAAACCCAATCCTAAACAGGAAACAAGGGATAAACCTCTACTCCTGTTCAAAGACCAGGGAAGAGTGTGAACCGAACAACAGATGAGCCTCTTGAGCTAATATTAATTTGAAAAGGGAGATTAGGCTGATTCCTGAAGAAGCAGCAATATCAGAAAAACCTGTAACATATTCAAAGCAAGCCCGTAAAACTTAGCTTAGTTTCAAAAATCAGTTTAATATGACAGTCCCTAAATAAGAGACATATCAAACCTATTAGGTGATAAGAACAGATACTACACTTTGACCAAAGCAAATAAATAAATGAAAGGGAATACTCTATAATTGGACCTTAATAGTTATCTCCCTTGAAAAATCTTCCTTTTTTTTAATTGAACATGAAAACAAAACAAAAAAAGTGGAAAATTACAAAAACGTAGAAAACTGGTAAAAATATTTTTATCATTTCAAATTAAAACAAATTACATGTGAACCCATTTTACAAAGCCTGTGGGACCTTAAAGAAGTCTCATCTGAAAAAAATGAAGAAAATGGTTTGTATGGCAAGACCATTTACATGTGAAAATTAATGTTGTTTTTCTGAAAACACTGAGTGTAATCCCATGAGGTTGAAGATGAACAAAGAGAGCTTCTCATATATTAGAAACATCAATGCACTGGTGAAGACAGTCTGAAGTAATTTGGCTTCTAGTCCACAAAAAGCAGAAGAAATACCTTGCATCCTGAAAAAGAGAGAGAGAGATAGATCATAAAAGACTGAGATAGATAGATAGATAGATAGATAGATAGATAGATAGATAGATAATTAAAAAACTGTGATAGATAGATAGATAGATAGATAGATAGATAGATAGATAGATAGATAGATAGATAGATAATTAAAAAACTGTGATAGATAGATAGATAGATAGATAGATAGATAGATAGATAATTAAAAATTAAAAAGATAGATGATAGATAGATAGATAGATAGATAGATAGATAGATAGATAAAAAACTGTGATGATAGATAGATAGATAGATAAAATAGATAGATGATAGATAAAAATGATAGATAGATAGATAGATAGATAGATAGATAGATAGATAGATAGATAAAAACTGTGATAGATAGATAGATAGATAGATAGATAGATAGATAGATAGATAGATAGATAGATAGATAGATAGATAGATAAAAAACTGTGATAGATAGATAGATAGATAGATAGATAGATAGATAGATAGATAGATAGATAGATGTCACAATTCTATCTTTAATTACATCTGACACTGCAACTAGCATGCACAACAATGAAAACAAGTAATATTCCCATTTTGGGGGTTACTGAAATTATTGTTTTGATTTTTTTGCTGATGTTTTTACAGTGTTTCAGTCAATACATTTTTACAGTCTTCATCAGCTGTACAATCAGTGGCATAATTAAAGTGTGCAGTGCACGAGGCAGTTTACTGACCACCTGGTTCCCACAAAAGATATATATTATATAGTGAGTCTCTCTTAAAGTTATAAAACTAGTTTGTGTACCATTATAATATTACTTTCACATACTCAAATATAGCATGCTTTAAGTACACACCAAACATACTTAAACTTTATTTGTAACAGTTAAAAAGTAAAAACAACATATAAGGGGGGAAAGTGTAAAAAATTAGGACTATCTTTATTTCTTAAGTAAAAATTACAATTTTCTACAAAGTAACTTTTCTTGTTTTTTGTTGGCAAATTCTTCAATGACAGCATCAAAAATGACTTCATCTGTCAATTGTCGCTCTATAGATAATAGATAAGCCAATATATATGCCATGGTTTAAGTCAGGGGTTTTCAAACTGTGGTCTGCAGACCACAGGGGGTTCGCAAGGACAATATAGGGGGTCCATGGACAGCAAAAAATATTTGTTGAATACTATTACTGTTTTCATTTACATGTAAAATTTATATTTTAGTATAACAAAATTAAATTTTGTTACATTTTGCAGCAACATGCAGCATTAATTTATTTGAACACTTATGTCTAAAGTCTGCTTTAAACCAGCTTTTATTGCATTAATGCAAAATTATATGTTATATTCAGCAAATATTTATGTATAAATTTCATAAGCGTTTATAAGGGGGTCCCTAAGGTAAAGCCTGAAATATAAAGGGGTCCGCAAGTGAAAAAGTTTGAAAACCCCTGGTTTAAGTTAGTCAAAATTGAAAAGATTCTACAACTGGGAATACTGTCCCAACATTAAAACTACTTTTATTTCAGTATAACCTATACAGGCTTATAGTTTATAGCAGACACAAAAGTGCAGCCTCCTCTATAAAAATGCCACCCATCCCATAACTCTAGCTACACCAATGTACAATCTATGTAAAAGAAGCTGCATTCTATAGTTGCACTATTAAAGAAAACACAGAGAACCCAAAATAGATGAACGACATCTAGTATGAGTGAGAGAAATTAGTGTTAGAATTCAGAAATAATTAGAAGAAGTATGACGATAAGAAGGCAGTAAAAAACTTACATGATTGTTTGTAGGAATGTTCGAAAGATGGCACCAGCAGATTTGCCTTTCCCTAGGCCAACCTGATAAAAAAAGGACAATATACACGTTAAACTATAATGATTTTATTAGTATTACCTTAACTTCTTTACCCTTATGTTTTGTCACAACATTTTAGGTCAATACACTCTTCATTATTAGAATTATTTTATTATTTGTTTTATTACATGTTAAACATGCTTACTAGTTTCTACTTATTAATTCATTAATTAGTTTCTTAATTATTTTCAATACACTCTTTGTTATTATTATTACTTAATTGCCAGTTGTTTTTTGGGGTTTTTTATCCACTTCATCCCAAACAAGGCAATAAAGCCACTAAGTTGCAAAGAATTAAAGAATATGAGAAAAAGAACAGCATTATTAAGGAGAAAGAGCAATAAAAGAACAAGAATTAAGAAGACAGAAGATAACAAATTGCATTTAATTTTTCGAAGATCAAACTTGACTGGAAAGTAAGAAACCGGAAGAGAGTTCCACAAGCAAGATGTGCAACAGAAGAAAATATTATCATAGAACTTACAGTTACATCTAGCCATTCCAACTGTAGATGAGACCTATCCACCAATCTAGTACTGCATTCTAAATTCTAATTATACAAATAAATAAATTCTAATTAAAGTCTCATTACCATAGAGGAAAGTTCATCAGAATAATGAAAATATTTACAGAGAAGGCACAGGGAAGCTACATTACGGTGGTGGGAAAGTGACTGAAGCCAAGATACCAAGAAGCCAAGATGCCAATAGCATTGAAGAATATTCTTTGAATTTTATCAAGAATTTCTAAATATATAGCAGGAGTGCCAGACCAGATGTGGCAGCAATATTCAAAGCATGGATGAATTATATACTTATAAATATGTAGGAGAGATTCTGTAGAGAAAAATTGTCTAGAACAGCACACTGAACCAACTTTCTGAGCAACAGACCAAGCAATTGATTCAATATACTCTTTCCACTTTATGTCAGTGGAAAATGTTAGCCTGAGACAATTCAATGAGTCTCTATCCCGAAGGTTAGCATCAGCCATGCTGAGGGAAGGCAGAAAGAGAACACTCACATGACATGATTGACAGAGAGCAGTTTGTTTTTAAAATTAACAATATATTCTTGTCCTAGTTAACAGAGAGTGATAGGCTTGCAAGAAATCTGTGAGAAAGAAGTTGTAAAGTGGAGAATATATCTCTCCCCCGACCCAACCAAGACTGTGTAAACAGTGTTGAGCTGAATCAAGTTCTTGAAAGTAAGGATTGAGTAGCTCTAGCCCAAATATAGCAGCAAGACTCCACCTCTGGCCTAATCTGACTCTTTTAAAGTTTGCAGAAGAGACCCAAAAAAAGGCTGAGTGTGGGCACCTGCCAATGGCATTGGCTCCATGATGCAAAGAAAGACCATGGCAGACTCATTCTGTTGTTTATAACAGAAAAAGGAATAGCTTGGATCTGTTACCTACAGCGTTGACAGAATAGCCTGGATGTGCTGGCTATGGATTTATGTACCTACCTTCTAATGCATATAAAGTCAGTGGCAGTGAACAAGGGGAGTATGTCTCTGTAAATTTGTGACAGTTTGTTAGATAAAGATAAAGCTTACTAGAAAGAGTCAGATATTTTCTAGATTGATAGAATGAACCAACCATTTTTCCAGCATCTTTAGCAATGGATCGTATAGATGTGTTCCACTTGAGGTTTGGGGTGAACTTGAGACCAAATAGATGTTCAAAGTACGGATCCTCCTTAAGAGTATAACTGTTCATCACAACTGTAGAAATACAAAGGTCTGATCAGGGCTGATGAAATGATAACTAACTTGGTTTTTAAGGTCTTCAACATAAGCCAATTATTTCCCCCTTTGAGATGGCACATCACAAGGAAAGAGGGTTTGGAAAATTTTACACATACAGGACATGGAGAATACAAGAGAGACAGAGGAAAAGTGTGTAACTTAACTAACGAAATGGCATATAGGAAAAAAATGAGTAACTACCGACACTGAGGTTCGAACGTGACATTCTGGACTTATGAATATGTTTTCTGCCAGGTGTATAAATAGCGGTGTCAGGCTACTGACTGCAGTGATTATTGAGTGACTATTGAGTGGAACTATCCAGTTGAATTAGTGTGAATTATTATGTGTCGATGATTTGGGTTCTAATTTAGAATTAACTGGACATTAAGCCGAGCCGTACTACTAACAATGTATCCACTGAAATGGTTAATTATCTTTGGTTGACTTTTACCTCTTTATTCGTGTTAATTACTTATTTGCAGAAACTCACATTTCAGCTGTGTTCCATTTACGCTGACTACTTTTTTTTCGCTCTAATTCTTTGATTACCAATTCTTCTCAAGACACTAGATAATTTAAGTGTTGGCATATATTGGAAGAGTTACATCAATCATTTTGTTTCTTAATAATTAAAAACTGTTTTATCTTAACATTGAAGTCTTGAGTTATGCTTAATCATTAACAGCCACTGTACATCACAAAAGTATTAATACTCTGTCACTTGATACTGAGCACTATTATTATTTCTTTTGTTAAGCATTTTTCAGCCTTTGATTTTTCCTTACTTCTTTGATACTTTCATTTTCTGGACATATGAATATATGTTTTCCACCAGGTGTATAAATAGCAGTGTCAGGCTACTGACTACAGTGATTATTGAGTGACTATTGAGCGGAACTGTCCAGTCGAATTAGTGTGAATTATTGTGCGTAAATGTTTTAGGTTTTGATTTAGAATTTACCGGACGTTAAGCCGAGCCGCACTAACAAGGTATTCACTGAAATGGTTAATTATCTTTGGATGACTCTTACTTCTTTGTTCTTGTTAAGTATTTATTTGTGGTTGTAATTAAATACTATTTTATTTACATTGAAGTCTTGAGTTCTATTTAATCATTAATGGCCACAGTACATCATAAAATGGCCGGCAAAACAGGGTTTAGTAGATTTAGTGAAAAGACTAAATTTAATAAAAGCTACAAAGGACAGGAAATTGTGGAGAGCCATGATTGCCAACATCCTGAAGAGAGAGCACATAGAAAAACAAGCTTGTGTAAATGGATGCCAAAACAGAGTTTAGGGGAGATAACAAAAAGACAAAATTCACTAAGAGCTACAAAAGACAGGAAATTGTGGAGAGCCATGATCACCTACATGCTGAAGGACACAACCAAATAGAAGAAGGACGTCTTGTGTAAATTGATAGCAAAATAGAGTTCAGGAGAGATAAAGACAAAATCAACTAAGAGCTACAAAGGATAAGAAATAGTGGAGAGCCATGATCGCCAACATCTTGAAGGGACACAGCCAAACAAAAGAAGGACATGCTTGTATAAACAGATAGCAAAACAGGGTTTAGGAGAGATAGTGAAAAGACAAAATTTACTAACAGCTACAAAGGACAAGAAATTGTGGAGAGCCATGACCACTAACATCCTGAAGGGACAAGGGAGATAGAAGAAAAGTGAATTAATGCACAAAATACAGCAGTGCTTTGGTATTCCCTCCATATTTCTTTCATGAAATCGAGATTGCCAGGGAAATAAATACAAATATACCAGCAGAGTTAGCAAAAAGAGTTCTGAATATCATCTGCTCAGCAAGTTAATACTGACTGATATTGTTTCAAGGTGATAAAATATTTGAAAAACTGGTTAACTATGTAATGTTACTTCAGCATAACACCGGAAGGCTGTAGTAAACAAACTGTCTAACTGACAAGCTGACCTTTCCAAAATAGTTTCAATGGCAACTGATGGTTCATCCAGCATTACTGACAAGACAGGCAGATTTTTGTGAATTTGTTTACAAAATATGCCGCACATCCATTGGTGACCTTTCATTGTTTTATAAAAAGAGAAGACTTTAAATGTAAAAGCTAAACTGAAGGAACTTGAAATTGTGACGAAAACTGTCACAAATGTAGCTAATTTCATATCAGTGTTTGCCCAACACATGGCCCAAGAGCCACTCAAGGTAGAGGGTTACTGGATGAGGTTGTTTTATGGATGGGAGATGGTGAGAATATGCAGGATAGATAACAGTTGATCCTGAACTTGAAGAGATTAAGATTCTTGTGATCAGGGAAGCATCCTCACAGGAGTCTGCTATACAAATTAATGTTAACTGAGACTGTTGTTCGCCCAACGCATGGCTCAAGAGCTACTCAAGGTAGAGGGTTACTAGATACGGTTATTTTAAGGATGTAAGAGATGGTGAGAATATGCAGGATAGATAACAGTTGATCCTGCACTTGAAGAGATTAAGATTGTAGAGCTCAGGGAAGCATCCTCTCAGGAGTCTGTTACATAAATTAATGGTTCTTGGGAGAAAGTTGTTTGAGCAAAACTTCCTTTTTGCCAAAAATATAATGAGGAAAGCTTACTATTCACTTCTGCATTCAGTACAAATCATGATACATGTCAGACCTTCTTAAACTCACTTCTACCAAATACACTCTACCCAGGGGCCTCTTATCCCTCTTAAGTATACTACTTTTAAGTCAACACTCATCAAAGAGGATTATGGACATATATAAGGAATATTATCCTCTAAAACAGTATTGCAATTAAACAATTTTCCTTTTTTTTTATATACATACATGGTATGAAAGCACTTGCGATATCCTACCCTTGGTAGCCACAAACCAAGGGAGATAACACAGTTTCAGTGGCTAAGGAGGTACTGCTACCCCTGATGCCACCACCAGCTTTTGCCACTGGATAGGGTATTGTTTCTTGTGTAGATATGTCAGTCTCACATGGTTTTTTTTTTTTTACAACTGCAAGTCAGATTTTGTTAAAAGTGTTTGTTTTTGATCGTTAACCAATACACAATGCACTCGTAGTGACCATTATCAATGACGTAGAATGGAAGGTAAGCAGATGTTTTTCACATTGGGATTAGCATTGTGTTGAAAGTATGGTTTTAATTAATTTTGTTTATTTTGGATCTTGACCAGATCCAACTTGATGCATGCTGAGCTGTGGAGACAATGTGGAGACAAACTTTAAA